TTCTTCTTCTTCTTCTTCTTCTTCTTCTTCTTCTTCTTCTTCTTCTTCTTCTTCTTCTTCTTCTTCTTCTTCTTCTTCTTCTTCTTCTTCAGGAAAAAAAAAGAGAACAAGGAAATCATGCCCTCGTCTAGGCTAAAGTATGCTAGCCTACAAATAATATTAGGCTAACCGAGACGATCAGTATTCTGTGCCGCGGGGGGAAGCGTGAACTTTATCTGCTAAGGTCAAGTTGCCATAGGTATCCAGCCACCACTGGCCTATTAGTGAATGAAGTTCATTATAATAATTAATGTATGTTAATGAGATTATAATGATATTTTTAGGAAGTGAATGAACATTTTTATGTGCGTGGGTGGAATGACCCCGTTCTGTGTGGTCAATGGCATTTTTCAACCAATCACAAGCTTGCGCTCTATTCGCTGTAGAATGATAAAATGGCTGCTGACGGGCCAAATGCAGACAGCGAAGATCTTGAATTTGACCCACGATCGGGTGATCTAGAATGTACAGAAGAGCATATCGAAAGTGAACTGAAAGCACCAGACGAAGAACTGTAAGTTACTTTTAAAAGAGTGTGGTGTTATGTCAGCACTTTCTGATATCACGCCTGATGCGTTGTAGTCGTAAGGCCCTTGGCCTGTTCTCTCTCTTGCCACTGATTTTGCTCTCTTCGGTTCTGTTTGTGGAAACTACGTTACTTGGATTCGACACCCAACCCGCGAAGTTCACTTTAATTTAATAAATCTGCATGATCTCATTTTTCCCAGCCGCAGATAATCGGCAGACTGTTTGGTTCATCATGATTGTGTACAATGCCCATGCTAATATTTTGATTAAAAATACATGGCTGCTTGACTGTTTGTTTTTCCGATAAACAAGACTTTCGACGGCGAAGCCGATGACGATGTGTCGGAAAGTTTTCCCCCTCCGTCGCTCCAGGAACAGGTGGTTAATATTGTAGAATTATAAGTCTGAGGCAAAGTAAGATGATACGTTTGTATTGATCTCGGATTTGGTTTGCTGCAGCCAGAGGCCAGCTGTAGACTGTAGATTAGTTCTAGATATCTAATATCTAGATCTAGATTTATATTCTAATCTAGATCTAGAATCTGGATTATTGATCTAGATATATAGGCCTAGATCTAGATCTAGTCTAGATCTAGATCTAGCTAGCTGTTTAAATTATTTTGATTTGGGTGATATTGTAGTTCCGTTCGTTAAAGTCCATCATCCATTTGTTTACATCCAGAGAAGAACTCCGGGAGTCTTGATGACCAAATAGGCAACACAAAGAACAGGGATGCAACCTAACTGCAAAGGCCGTCGTTATTCGGACTCGAGTCCGAATATGAAAAAATGTTATTCGGACTCGGGTCCCGAAAAAAGGCAGTGTCTTCGTTCTATAGATCTAACGTTCAGTGCTTCCAATTTTCCGCCATTTTTTAGTTTCCCCCACACCTTATCTGCCGATCCAATGCCCGCCGCCTCATTGATACGCCCCCCCCCCCCCCCCACTTTTCCCACTTTCTTTGTTGTAGAAAAAGGTAAAATTGAAGATTAGCAGACCACCTGGCACCTGCATATTATGAGCTGTGTAAAAAAAATAAAAGACCGATTCGTTCAAATACACAAGCCTGTGTCATATCGATTGTTTACCAAGAAAAAGTTGTGTTGCTGTGTAGAGCTGAGCATACGGCAACTTTTGATTCCATAGACCAGCACACAATTCATTACGTATTCATTACGTAGATCTACGTCGAGACTAGCTTATTATTGTAATAATGATCAGTTGCCGGGGGGGGGGGGGGGGGGGGGAGACTGACGCGTATGCGACGTTCAAAGCCCGGACCGATAGTGTCCCCCACCACCCTCCCCGACACGCACACAGCCACACGTGTGCAGGCCGCCCATCTGACCCCGACACACGCTAACGAGCCATCTTTAATTGCTTCTGATGACCTCTTGACAAATAAACATTTATTAGAAGCGCTATAACTTTTCAGGCCGGCCTCAAATTCATCATAAGATTAAAACTCGGCTCCTGCACAAAACGCCTTTTTGCCCGAAGTGATCCCGTTCTCTACCCAGCCTGAGGCGAGTCACGAGTGAGGCAGGACAGGAAGCCGGATTCACGAGTCACAGGAAGTCGGAAGTGATGTCATGCTGGACAAGAATCAGAGTCCGAATAACATTTTTTCATATTCGGACTCGAGTCCGAATAATCACTTCGAACTGCAAAACATCAAACTATGGTAAAAGGCTGTCGTTCTTCTCAATATCCATTTTATTCTCACCCGGTCTGAGAATGCAATGGATTTTTAGGTCTAGATTCTCTACCTGGGTGTTGAGAACGGATGATAGAAAATAATGTGAATTGTGAGAGAGTGACTGTTCGTCCCGATAAGGCTAGGTTTAGATCTTTCCTACCAGAAGATCAGCAGGGGTGTGGCTGAAAGACAGAAGTAAGAAGGAGCCAAGGAGTTGCAGTAGAAAGGCTGCAGATAGAGTCAGGAGACCAGAGGAGGGGGCAAAGGAGGTGAGGGGGTGGGGGCAGAAAGTGGAAATGAAAGCAGACAACAGAACATTGTTAGAAAGCAGAAAAGGATGTGAAAGGAGACAATTTTAGAGAAGAAAATTTTCTGTCGCCCTCTGGTTTCGAACCCACGACCTATTGAATGAGAGATGAACACCTTAACCTCTAGACGACGAGAGCCCCCATAGGTAGTCTATGACATTATGTTGTTGCATCTTCACTGCTACATCTTTCTCTTTCATCTTGGATTCTTGAGAATGGAAACTGTTCTTAACGTTTACTCCTCCTTCCATTGACCATTGGCTCTGGTCAACTGCCATTTGTCGTCAGGTTCTTAAGTTGGTCTCTCTTGAGGTCAGCTTCCTGTCCACTCACATGTATTTTTTGTTGTGGTCAGCCTTTCTTCTTTCTTTCATTTTCTTGCTTTCTGCACAGATCCCAGTGTTGTATAAGAAGGGAAGATTCTTTGGACTTTGACTTTTCTCATCATTCCGACATCTCTGCTCTGTGTTGGGTGTTCAAATGTTTTAAGGAGTGAAAGTACTACACCTTACACGACAGGCTGTATTAGATATATTGGAGTTGTGTATATTCCTGTTTTAGGGTACTAGTCCAGTCAATTTAGATAACACAGTGGAACTTGCTGTAACATTCGCCTACCCAAGACAATCACCAGTACAATGTACAAATGACAACTTCTCATTCCCCCCTTGTATTTTAAAAAATTTTAAAAATGACACAGTCCAAAATGTCCACCTGTCTAAAAATAAAATGTATACCTTCTTTCTGATCATGACAATCTTGTTCAATGTCTTTTTATAATGATTCTATCTCTACTTATTGTCTTTTTTACAGTTGGTATCATGGCAGGCTTGACAGACAATCTGCGGAGGAATGCCTTCGCAACAGTGGTAAAGTAGGAAGCTACCTAATAAGAGAAAGCTACAGCAAACCTGGCTCCTTTGTACTGTCGTACTTAGGACCTTCAGGTCCACCAACGCATTTCAGGTAATTACAAGTGGGTGCTGTGCACAAACATTCCTGTTTTTTCAAGACTGCTGTCAACAAACCGAAGAATAATTGAAACTTTCTGTCTTTATGTGTTACTTTAAGCTGTTGAAACTATGTTTTTTGGTTTGATACTGAAATGATTTTTGAAACTAGATTTTTTTAGTTTTAGTTTTTGTAAGGTTTTATGGCACTCACAACTGCATAAGGTCATATGAGCATCAAGGGGTGGATGTCAGCTGAGAAATCCAGATGGAGGAATCAAGCTTACTCTGCTCACCTTTAGCCTCAACAGCACAAAGTCTGCTTCGACTATCAAAGCACCCGGGAAGTAGCAGTTCACAAGAAGTAGAGGAAAAATGGCGAAAGTAACAGTATGAGCATGACATTGATAAATCAGCCCATTAAAAATTCTGCTGTGCTTAAGAAGTCAATATCCCTCCTTTGGGAATGGTCTGAAGACAAGCTGGATTTGTGAAGACTGATGTGCTCCAAGTAACAGCCTTTTTAGGAAAAAATTGAGAGATAACCAGTCTGCATCATTTTCTCTATTCTGATCTGCTGAATCAAAGATATAATGTTGTTTTTTCTTTCTCATTGTTTTAATACCATTAGATTTGTTTTCTTTATAGTATCAGGCATATGGAATAAGAACTGTTTGCAAGTGTTGGTTTTTATTATGCTGCTTCTCATTTGCATTTGTTCCAGAATACTGGCAATGTGTGGGGACTATTATATTGGAGGACGACAGTTTGAGTCACTTTCTGATCTTATTGGCTACTACACAGCTTGTTCATGTTTGTTCAAGAATGAGCAGTTGAAGTATCCAGTTCCTCCTGCAGAGGTAAGCTTCCTTTCGCATTTGGTTTAAAGATGCAGTCTATCAAAGTTAGGTGAAAAGGCAAAAAAATTGTGTCTCAATAAAAGATAATTCTTTCAGGTAGTAAGTTATATAATTATTTCTGCACAACATAAAAGGATTTTAACAAGTTTGCCTCTCTCAATTAAAGTAATTTTGACAGTAGGTAGTGTAAACAGGGCCTCGCAGGCACTTGCGGCCTTCCGAGCGTGTGGTTTCGGTGAAATCGGGGTAATTCAGATCGCTGTTTCTTTGCTCTTTCGCTGTAAAACACAAAATGCTGTACACTTTGTAAAAGTTCAGCTTACTTTGTTACAATGGTGTAAGTTGTTTATATGTCCGATTATTAGGAGCTGGAGAATCGGCGTGGAAAGCGAAGCTCCTTATGGTCGGAATGCGTGGTCGGCCTGTTAAAAAATTGACACGCGTGCATTCAAATGCTTCGCAGAAAGATTGATGATTAAATACCGTCTTTTTATGGCGGAGAACTGCAGAGCTCTGAAAGGGCTTTCCTGTGGTATATTTTTGGCCTTTGGCGTTTAAATAGAAAGCCTTTAAAAATATCATCAAAGTTTTCAAAGATCAATTTTTATGTGAAATTTGTAAAATACTGGCTCAAAAAAGGTACCTAAAGAAAGGTCAGTTCATTTTCTATTAGAATAAAGTAATCGGCTTGGAATTATTTTTCATCAATCCTTTCCAAGAAACTTGTAAAGCATGTGACTCCCCAGGAGGGAGCACTCGGTACACTACAGTATAGAGCCGACTCGCTCGCCAATGCGGCACCAACCGGGTCGAAATAAGGACAGATCATTGCGCATGTTGAGACCATAAAATATTGATTTGTAATGATCTCACAGTCTTGAAAAAAATTAGACTCCATATCTATGCTATAGTGATTGTACTCTGTTAATGTGGAGATGTTTGGTGCACTTGGTACTCTTTTATTATCTGTCAAACATGGGGTTGCAGCCAGTTAGCGACTTAAGCAAATTTGATCATATGTAAAACAACTGCCATTTTCTTAAAAATGCTTAAAAATGGACTGAGAGGTTTAAGAATGGTATCGGAATTCTTGGGAGATATAGGCGTTTCATATGATACAAATAAATTTAGCATACAGCTACTTTGAAAATTTAGTTTGTGGTATCTATTGACTGCATGGTAAATATCACAAGTTTTAAAAATGTGCTGGAAATGAGGTTGAAACACTTCTATTATTTTGTATCTTGTTCCATACCAACATTTTCAGCATGATCTCCAGTGTACTTTTTGAAGAGTGCTCATGAAATAATGAAATATGAATTCATACGTTTTACAAGAGTGTGATTTTTTCAGCATCAGACAATAAAGTATTGAGTGTTGGTTCATACACTTTTGTTTTCAAAGCTTATTTAATAGAAACAGTGAAACTGTGTCAAGAAGTAAAGCTTCTCTTTTTTATATGCTATGCATGTCAATTTTCTTGCCCTCAGCATGTCGTAAAAGTCATGATATTCAGTATAGAATTTTCCTATTTCATTGTAGATTCCATAAATTATTATGTCTAATTAGACCATGTCATTGAACCAAAATTGTTTTAAATAGAAACAGTGCATTTTTAAAAATATGTTTTTGTCAATTTTTTTATGCTCCATGAAAGATACACAAGATGTTCTGTTATCATGAAAAGCAACTTTGAATTAAAAAGTAAACTCATCTTTAAGTGCAAAAATTTATGTGAAATGATGTGTTCCTGGAAGCCTGCTCACATTTTATCATATTATTTCAGCCTGTGGATGACCGTCGCAGAGTTCTTGCAATGTTTTCCTACAGAAAGATGCCTGAAACAGATGAACTGAAGTAAGTTGATGAGTATTTTGCATGTAACGTACCATTGAACCTTATTTTGTTGATATTTTTATTCATTTCTTAAATGTTTGAGTACGTAGTTTTTGCCCATTGTCTTTGAGTACAGTTCAGATTTTGTACTTAGCATCGATATGACAAAAAAGAGGTCCAGACAACAAATTTACAAAGCTGTTAAATTTTTGAATATTTTTTCAACAAGTAACTACTTGTGAGATGGCCTAAATTTTTGCACAGAGAGAATTAAGTCACCCTAAAACAATGGCAATGTATTAGAGAATGTTAGTCCATCCTGACTTGAATTATGATTAGTGAGACATGAATGTCTGTCAAAGTGTCTTTGATTTATTCTAAGATTCTGAACATTCAGTGTCAGGGCTTTTACAAATGTGTTTATGACATTGACTTGTTTAGATTTGTTCTGGTTGTTTTTTGGCACCCTAAAGGAAAATGGGGTTTGTCTTTTTCATTGCAGTTTTGACAAAGGTGACACCTTTATTGTTCACAATGAATTGGAAAATGAATGGTTATGGGTTTCAGCAGAGAGGACAAAAGAGAGTGGACTTGTGCCTGCTCAGTTTGTGGAAGACTTGGTAAGGAATTGATCACATGATCACTCACATCCAATTTTTCATTTAGTGGGTGAATATCCTCTAGTACTGTAGTTTTAAGACAAGGGCCAGAGTTAAGCTCTGAATTGGTTCTTATTCAAATTTTGTGTGTACAGGTTTGACAATGATGGAAGTTTGTGCCCACCCAAATTTCTCTTAATAAGATATAAATGGTGCTTTGAGGGATACTGCTGTAGCAAATGTATGGTACCGGTGTAGTGGACAGTCTCTTGCGATGTTTCTGTTCTACTTGGTCTTCCATGGGACGAGCTGAACGACTGGCTTAATAGTCTGCTTATGAACTACAATCCATTATAGGGGGTGGGGGGCTGGGGTGGGTACTGGTCTTGATAAAGCTCATAAAATGACTTTAGGCACAAACTAGAGGGACATTCCTGCACAAGAAACCAGTTGATAGGGGGGCGTAAAACATATACCATTTTACTTTTTTTCGCGGAGGAAATCTTTGGTTTTCTCAACAAACGAAATCTTTAACTAAAACAAAAAACCGGAACCCAATTCTTGCCAGCTGTCCAGATTCAAGTAGTTGAAAATCACCAAGTCCCTTTTATGTTGAGTTCACAGCCTCTGGTGTAACATGTTCTATGAAACTGGGCTTGTTGCTCTTTGTTCAAACACTTCACTGTATTAATATGATATAAATTTTAGACAGATTTTTACTCTAGACCTACGCTTTCTCTTTATTTCTAATTCAGAAATGTGATGGTGACCCTGTGGAAGCTCTCTCATATTTTCATGGAAATATCACAAAAGAGGAGGCGGTTGAAAAGCTTATGAAAGGTAATGATTATCACTCCCACGTTTTTCTTTCCTTATTTTTATATATTAGTTGTGATTTCAAAGAAATGAGTCTTTTGTTTTGTTAATTTTTAGCAGTTCCTGTCTATTTATTCTGGTGTTTTGAAAAGATGATTTTTTGTGTTTTAAAAATTACCCTGCTTGATTTTTTTTTAATTGTTAAAATGTTTCAGGACTAAGCAGATTTAATCTCATGTGCCATTAAAAAATTTCAATGAAGTAAATGGAGAGAAAACACAGTCATTTAGGCCTAACTACAGGTCAAAATAGAAAAAGAACAAGGATCTCTGCGACAATACATTTGGTACACGATTTGATGAATTTGTTGACCAAATGAGAAATCGTGACGAATCATGTCAAGGAGAAGGGGCTCTCTGGCAGTCTCAGCAGACCGAGAAGAGTTCTTGATGATGCCCCAATGGGGTTATTCTTATTGTGATGTTTGTCATTGAATTATGAAGTATGTATTTCCTTGAACATTTTTGGGAAGCATTGAGGCACATATGCACATTTTCTTCTGTTCTTTTAATGCTCATGACTGCATCATGTAAGTGAGAATGGATAAATAGATTTGTCTTGATTTGTGTCTGCAGCTGGTGAGGGCAGCTACTTGATCAGACCCAGTGAAAACTCCCCTGGAGACTACTCTCTGTTTTTCTTGTGTGGGAAAGAGGTCAGGCGTTTCCGGATTGAAAAGAAAGGAAGATACTTGCACCTAGGTGGTCGTTACTTTGACAGGTATTTTGAAACCCAGTGTATTTTTTGCTTTAGTTTTGTCACAATTTCCTGTGAGGATTTTCTATTTCTTTTCTCTTTTTTTCTTTTTTGTTGTTGTTCTTACGAAGAGGAAGCTGAACTCAAAGCCTGTTTTCAGTTTCAGTACTTTTTATGCATAATTTTATTAATCTATTGGATATTCTGTAAAACCTTGAGAATAGAATCCATTTTTGTCAAGTTCCTTAATTAAGTTTTGGGATTTTGTAACCTATTCATAGGTTGTGACATGCTTATTTCATAATACATTATAATAAATTCAAAGAACACAGTAAAACAAAGACCTTGAACGTTGAAATCTTGCACACAGGCCCATACAATGAATATCTGTAACATTAGTGAATAGGTTTTTTTGCTAAGCTACATAGGTTTCACATGAGAACATCATTTCCAAATCCATTATTCAACTGTATAAAATGTACTACATTTTGTGCATAGAAAATTTAAAAGTAAAGATAAAAAATGTATCAGTTGTCAAACCAAAAGCCTCTGTCATGAGAGAGGCAGTTATATCAACATTTATGTCTAAAAAGTTCATTGGTCATGGGTTAACTTTTTTCAAGATAGTGTTCTTTTTAAGGCATGTCATAACTATGGCATAGTAGACTTCATTTTATCGACGCGTTATTGGAATGGCACTCGACAATATTTTTTGCTATGAATTTTTCTTTTTTTTTGTTCAACTTACTGAAATTTTATTTCGAACTTATGGGTTAAAAAGATAGACGCATGGTATTCTTACTTTGCAGTTTGGAAAGGCACTGACTGATATCTGTGGAGGAGAAAGGGGAATCATGCCATTTGCTGCAAATCTTGTTTTTGAAAAATGTAATTTAAAAAAAGAGTCCCAAAATGGATTAGATGTTGCCCTTTTGGATGTATAAATGGAACCATTACAAGACACATTTTGGTGAACAAAATTCTCAAGGGGTGAGGCTATGGAGGGTTTATCCCATGGTTGAAAATTATTTTTCAATTTGTCCTGTTTCAGCTTGGATGACATCATCAAAAGGTACACATCTGAGGAAATTGTAGATGGGTCAAAGCTTGTGTCTGCTGTGTACAGAACAAACAGGGTATGTTTCTCGGAAAGCTTCTATTATTAGAGTAAAATGATCGACGATCAACTAAATAAAGCCTGTCAAATGTATGTAATATTCTGAAGTTCAAGGTGATGTTTTGTATTATGTGAAACTTTTTATATTGCTGTATGTGAAAGGAAGACAAATCGTTTAAAATAATTTTAATTATTAACCTAAAAAATTTTGCTAGCTTAAAAAATCAGTTTTAGTCTGAACAAATGGCACTGACATAATGTTTTGGTTAATACTTAAAGTTTTCTAATAAAAATACCCAGATCAGTTTTGTGTGGGATGGTTGCGAGAAAAATTAAGCCTGATGATGGGATAGTTTGTAAGTTGGTTTTATAAATTTTTTGCTCCTCAGTATTTAAATGACATCGACAATCGCTTTGAGGCTGTGGATGGCATGGAGGAAATCTATTCATCAATCCACCAGAGCTCTGGCCCCAGTCTCCTCACTCGCAGCAATGACAGAATTGACATGACTGGCTTTCTCAACAAGCGAAGTTAGTCTATCAATGTGAATGTTTGTCTTCATAAGATAACCCATCTCAGTTGTCAACTCAAACGAAACAAACAAGCAATGAAGTTTTAAAAAATTTCTATGAAGTTACAGATCGATTACTGTTGTTGTAATTATTGGTTTGGTACATCAGTGAAATCTGTTTCAAGCATGAGTGCCGTTAACCGTAACGAAGTGTACCTGTCTGTTGTTCTCTGTATTTTTATACAGTTGCTTTGACTTAGTATTGTTTGCACTGTCTGTTGATATGAATTGGAGTTGCTGGTGTTTTGCTTAAAAAAAAAAGGTCCCTTGAAATAGTCTGAATTTACCACGTAACTGCTTTTGATTTAAAGTTTGAAGTGTATGGTATTAACTTCACTGCAACATTTTGTTTCAGGTGATCGTAAAAAACTGTGGAAGCCGTTTTATTTCGTCCTCAATGGAACAGAGAAATATCTGTATTATTTTGAAAATGAAAAGGTGAGTAATTTATTTGTTTTATCTTTTTAGAAAGTGAAATAAATATGTTCTTTTTGGTCAGTGTTTAAGATTCACAACATCTGATCTCAGTGTGTACATGTTTATTAATGCCAATAAGAAAACTGTAAGATTCTTATTTACTACAAACCATAATCTTTTATACATTTTTCCATTTTTCCTAGAAATCCAAACCAAAGGGAATCATTGACCTTGGATACAGCGCACTCTACCCGGTCCACAGCAGTCTGTTTGGAAGGTATGCAGCTCGCTGTCATTTATTCAACCATTATGTGAACCACAATTTTCTCTCAATTGTATTTCAGAAAAACAGGTCAACACAATATTTTGTTTGTTTGCTGTATGTGTGTTTCCTTGTCTTTCTTTCTTTTAAAAAAAAAATTAGGGAGGGGAAGGTGTATGTGCATAGAGGTATTGAGTTAATGCAATGAACAATGAAATCTTGAAGGACTACTGATGAGGAAAAGGAACATTACAAATGTTGATGATATAGAAGACCTTAGATAAGAGTAAGAGAGCTTGATAAAAAGAGTTAATTGAATTAGTGTGGTAATGGTTTATAGAAACAATGTGAAATTATTTGTGTCTTCAAAAATCGACTGTCGGTTTCGGTAAAATCAAACCCTTACACACTAAAAAAGTGAGGAATATTTACTCATGGATGTTCCAAGGGATTAGTGTTTGAGTTAAGGTTTGACTATTTATTATTCATGACACTGTCATGATGTGACTATTGCACGTCACTCATAAATGGGAACTGTAATTTTTGTGAAGAATTTATTGAACTTTTAAGTTGGAAAGGAATATGGGAACAAAGGACAAATGTTATGTAGCAGTTTTCTCACCTGTAACTAAAATCTTTATAATTGTGATATAATGTATTTCACTTCAGCAAATATTTATACCTTTCTGTACTCACTGTTTCCCATTTACATAATACTTTCAGAAGTTTTGATCTTTTGGTGTTGGGAACATGTACTATCTTCTCTGTTTACTGTATGAAGACTACTTCATTTTTAAATTGAATTTTACAGTGTAAGTTTTTAATCTTTCAGGCCCAACTGTTTCCAGATTGTTAGCAATTACGACAACAACAATGAACAAATTTGCTATGTCTGCGCTGACAGTTCTGATTTGGCTCAGGTTTGTGTTGTTTCATCTCCAATGTTTGATTTTCATTCACCTCGGAAAGATGTTCATAGTGTTATTGAATATCCTTAATAGTTAGTATTACACTGGCTCTACACATATATCTGGAATAAGGATGTATAAAACTTTTCAATTTTGGTGGCAAAGAAATATTATATATATCCAACCTTTGATACTGTAAGTGCTTGTCCATTTGCTCATTACCAGTTGTCTCGTTTACTGCAATGCACATCTGAAAGATGTACCAGTGCTTTGTTATTACATTTACAGAGTGTTAAAAAAATTTTTTGATCTAAGTAGCCAGGCTTGTGGTAAGGAAAGGCAAAGGTATTGAATCCAAAGAACTGTAAAAAATTGGTACTGGCTGTCCTTAGAAAAAAGATCATTAGAAAAGAGAACAGATTTCAAGATTGCTTGTTTTCCTTATAAATGTATTCATAACTTAGCACCACCTTATTTACAAGATCTTTTACAGTTGTGCCAGCCTGGTCGTGTCTCGTGTCTTGAGGTCTTTTTTTGGTTTAAATTTATTTAAAAACTCTTGTTTTGAGGAAAGATTTTGTTTTATTGCTGGTCCAACATTATGGAATACTTTATCGACTAACACCTGAAGCAGAAAGAACTTTCAGTCTTTAAAAAAAATTGTAAAACAGAATTCTTTATTACAATATTCTTATAGTGTACAGTCTTTTAAAAGACATTATAAAGCAGAATTCTTCAAGACAACATTCTTATAGTGTATAGTCCTGTGATTAACGTCATCGTTTTTAAGAACTGGGACAACTTTTATGTAGTGGAATTTTTATATTCCTTGTATTTTTTATCTTTATTTAACATATTTCCGTAGTAAATATTAAAGGATGGTGCTTGGGAGCTTAAAATGTTTCAGAACATTTGATTTGAAAGTCAGACTAATTAGATATGCATTACAGAATTCACATGTGTGGAAGAAAACTGAAGGGAGTTTCAAAATGTACTGTTATTACTGGTGTTTACGTAAATATTTACATTTCATAATATTGCAGTGTGTATTTAGTATTTTTATTTTGTGAAGAGTGTTATGTATGTCTTCTTTTACTTTACTACACAATTTGGATCATTATGTGTCCGATTAGAATGTCGCATTTTTTAAAAACAATTCTTAGTACTTATGGTTAGGTCTCACATTTATTGGTATGCATTTCTTTTCTTTCCAGAAATGGATCCAGTTTTTGAAGCCTTACTGTGAAAATTCTCGAGCCCCAAAGCCACAGTTTAAACACGCCTTGCTGAAAGAGTTCCACAAGTTGGTTGTCAGTGTTCTGGATGCCCACCGATTACCACCCAAACAACTAAACCACCCGTACTGTGTGCTCGCTCTTAATAATGTCCGTGTAGGGCGCACAGATGTTGGGGAAGGGGCTAATCCATTTTGGTCTGCAGAATTTTTTTTAGAGTGAGTATGTATTCTTTTTGCTTGTGAAATGGTCTATTGTCATGGGTGATAGACTTCAGTTGTAAGACAAATTTGTCTGTTGGAATCAATAAAGATGAAAGTTGTCTTGTAGATTTCTGGCAGAATCAGGAGTCCGTCTCAGCATTTTTTTCTCTCTATTTTTAGTGCAAGAAAGTACCCCTCCAATAAGAATCCCTGAGGTCTTCAAATGGTTTAAAGCTTTATTTAGACTGGCCAGTGGAGTGGGGTAGCAGTTCTTCAGTTACAGTTTATGCAACGTCAAAAAAATACAAGTCCAATGTTCGAACTTGTAATATTAACTCTAGTAGATTTATCTAGCGCTCGTAGTATAGTTGTAGCCTTGTTAATGAAAAGGAACGCTGGCCATAGATTCTTAGCATGTGCCTCTGAATGAATATGAGTCGGTTGCCAACCGCAGTAAGGTAGGGGCTAAAAGTTGAAAAATGCTGTCTCTATTTAGTGACATACAATATGTTTTATTTGGTCAATTACACTTCTGATAGTGCTTTTTAGTATCATTATCGTTATATGGGCCTTAGTAAGGTGGGGATGTTGTATTATAATTTGGGAGAGGATAATATTAGTATCGAAATGGTAATTTTTAGAATACTACGTTTATTCTAGCCTCTGCAGGGTTTCAGTCTTTTTGCTTTGTTGGGTAGGGTTAAGTGTTCTGCCGTTGCAGGTTAAACTTTGTGCGTAGTAGAACTCAAAACTTTACCTGCATCAACAGAATGGAAGATTTTATTGTTTGGTCACCTTTTTCTTCTTTTTTTAAATTCGAAAAGTCTATTTTCATTCCCCATTTATGCATTCTTACCAAGTCAGGATCACATACTCTTTCATTGTACAGGATGATGAACTGCCTTGTTCTTTATACAAAAGTACTTTCATTTGAGAATAATTGTAAGTTGCCCTACCCATGCTAAGGGATGATCTTGTATGGCAGTGTTACTTTGCAAAATTTTCATTAATTAAAAGTGTAAACATGCTTTTGGATCCTTGAAGAAGTAGCCTACCAAATGGTTTCCAATTTATGGCTAATAAGTATGTGAGATAAGTTTCATGTATTTTTTATTGTGATTTCCATTCCACAAACTTTGTTTACAAAGCAGCAGTAATTAGTTCCAAAAGAAAGAAAAATAAAGTTTTGAAATTTTTTTAGGCGAGTAGTAAATTTGCCTTGCATTATATTTTCCTCAACCCTCTTTTCTTGTGCTTAATCGACTATAGGTGCCACAAGATACCTCTGATATCATTACGTTTAGTAACTTTGCCTTGACCTTAGGTGTTGTTAAGGACAGACTCCTTCAAAGTCACTTTGTTTGGTGAAGACTCCTAAAATGAGTTGTCAGCATGGTGACCTACATACAGGGATTTCTTATCATGAATAATGTAAAGATTTGTCCCCTAGGAATATCAAGGATTATCAAAACAAGTTAATAAAATGTTTAGCTTCCAATGTTTAAAAGGACATAGAAAAGGATTGTTGGGCATAGATGATCTGGATAAATAAAAGAAATAGTTGTAAAAGTGAATAAATTTGGTGTATGCTACTTGTATTGAAAATTAACCGATATATTTATTCTCTTTTACCATGCTTTGTTTCGGTACTGTGCCTTTGAAATATAAAAGGAATTCAGAAATTTGCCACTGCAAAGACTTGTGGAAAAACTACATCAACCTGGGCTTTTGTGGAGCGGTATAATAGTCCTTCCGCAATTGTATAGAACATAACGACAGGCGTTCAAATGAAATGTGGGGGGCAGGTTCTTACTGTTTTGACAAGGCTTTAGCGAGGTGAGATGGTACACCATCTGCTCTCTTGTTACAACAAGAAAGAATGGTAGAAAAAATTATTGAGAATTTTCTTTTTAAAATTTTTAAAGGAGGATAATACTATATCGGAACAATTTACAAAAAGATGACTAAGTCACTGGTGCTCTGAGGAGAAACAACCAATAATTATCTAAGAGGATATGTGATAATGGTGAAAAGATGATTGCAGCTGAAGAAATCAAGGAGTATTCTCAAAAATATTAAAGTCACTTGAGAATATGCCCCCTTCTAAATTATTGAACCATAATAAAAGTAATCTTGCAGATGAAAGGGGGGGGGGGGGGGGGGGAAGAAACCATATCTCACTCAGAATGAAATAGCCTGAACATGTCATGAATAATACAAAGAGTATAAAAAGTATCATGGTTATTAGGACAGCTCATGGCTTATTAATAGCTCATTATGCCAATTACAAAATCTAGTTGCTTATGGAATTCATGGTGCCAGGTGGCCCACATGTTACTAGGTATAACAAGAATGTAAGTGGGTGGGTGGTCTCTATAAATCATAAGGAATGGTCGGGTTGTTTTGTTTTTTTTACTCGTTCCTTATGCTCACTGAAAGACTGGATTGATATAAATATTCTCATGGAAGCCTACCTTCACTCTCGCATCAGGTGAGCAGTTTTGGAAACAAGTGCCAAATTGGATACAGTAATTATACATAGGTTTTGCATTGCTCCCTCCAAGCAATGCAAACAAATGTCAACCACAGGACGTCTCTTTTGCTCAATGACTGCTGCCGGCTCTTCAAATAATCAATCAACTTCATTTGTTGCATCTCTTTCTGACAGTGACATTAACACCTTGGATACTGTCGATGAGGACTAGGTTCTTCTGAAATCAAACCAACCTCGGAGGACTATTTTCAACGATTTTTTTTTGTAACAAAATGTTTTGTGAAACTAATTTTAAAAGTGCACAATTTTCAGTGAGCAGGAGTTGACTTGATGTGCTGTTTAACTTAAGTGCAAATTTTGAAGAAAATAATTTTAGTATATTGTATGACCTTTTCAGGTGGTAATGCAAGATGTTGCAAAGTCACCCTATTTGTGGTTTAAAGAAAATTGAACTAGATTTGTTTTGACTACAGCCAATGAATTTTGTTTTCTTTTTCTATTGTACATATCTAAAGAGTTGCTTTTGACTCATCCGCCAAAATAAAGAGGAAAGTATTTGATTAACTCAGGTAGTTGCTATGTTGCTATCTATCACCATACAAAGTCACCCCAGTTTACTGTACTGTAGTTGGCTGGATATTTTTTTCATTAAAGTCTAACCAAAGAATATATTCACATTTTTCTTTATTCCCCCCTGTTTTTTAAACTAAACATTTCATTTTTCATTTTTATTTTACAGTGATATTCCGCCCACCGTGGAATCATTCACTGTGTCTTTGTTCAACAAAATCAAAAGGTTGAAGGATACTGAAATTGGTAAGGAGCTGATAACATTATTTTTGTTGTATTTCAAACAAGCTCATTATGAACCTTAACATGTAACTATCTCTTATGTTATATTCTCTGTGCTGTAATCTTATTGTCTTTTTTATGCAGTTCACTAGAAGGAGAAATTCTATCTATTTCTTGCAGTCACTTCGAAAACAAAGTACAAATTTACAGTTGTCATTGTACTTTCTTTCAGTGTTAAACAAGGGTTGATAGTGACAGAAAGGGTAGGTAGAGGTGTTGTCTGAGTGCTGTATAGTATGATAGGAAATGTGTGACTATGCTGACTTGTATTCTAAGGATTAGTAGGTGGTTGGCAGGTGCTCTGGTGTGGTTTGCTTTTTCTTTTCTATCAAACATCTATCGTCTTTATCTCCCCTCCTTCTTTTTTGTTTTTGTTACTCTCTTGTAATGCCTCTAATCTTTGGCATTTATATGACCTTATTGTGTTGCAAGTGCCATAAAACTCTTACTAAAACTAAAACTCTCGTACTAAAAATGAAATCTATGGATTAGATAGTGTTAAATATGTTTGCTTCTCAGCTCTTAGACTTTCCAACATTGATTTGTTGCAGCTTCTGTGACTGTTCCGCTGAGTGATCTGGCAGGACGAGGTTTTGTGGACAATGCCTATCAGTTGCAGCCAGTGGCTGGAATGAAAGGCGAGATGGGATCTCTGAGGCTCAAGTCCCGGTACCAGCATGAGGTCATCATGCCTGAAGATGAATACACAAGTTTGAAAGAGGTGTGCTACTTGTATTCAGGGTCCCTCCCCACCAGGTCGGGAAATCAGGAAAAAGTCGGGAATTTTGTAATGGGTTGGGAAGTGGGGGAGAAAGTTGGGAAAGGATAGGGCCTCTGTAATATTAGTAGTGTAGTTATTTTTTTATTTTTTTTAGTAGAGGTTTTACGGCGCTCGCAAGTAGTGTAGCTAGCTATCTAGACAGTATGGTTGATTGATCATGAAGAGGAAACATAATAGAATCAACTCATGGCAAGGAATACAGAGGTCAGATATCATTGTTAAGTGAAATAAGCTATTAACAGGGTGATTGCAAGGCCTGGGGAATGCCGGGGTCCCCCGGAAATTACCCGGTAGTTTGAAAAAAATCGCAGAGACCCCGGATTGCCCTGGGAATTTGATGAAATCTGTAAATTGCCCTGGGAAAGACCTGGAAAAATACATAAAAGTTTTCGTAAGTTCATCTTTGCCAGTCGCTATTGTGATATTCATTCGGCTTTTCCCGGTCTGAGAGTATGTTTCACGCAAACAGGCTGCTATGGCGGCAGGCGGAAGTGTGTATGTGACACCGAGACTCGATCGGGAAGAATCAAGATCTACTTTTGCTTTCGTTACCACCCAGAAATGTTCCGGTAATAGTCTGATAGATAACACAACATATGTACCATGCAGGTTGTGCATTACAAATGCAGTGTTGCAATGAAAATAAATCAATATTTGTCCTGTGCTGTCACTTCTGAAAAAAATAAAATAAAATAAAATTATACAGGCGTCTTGTCTGGCTGAAGGCAATGCTAGAGGACAAAAACTGAACTTGGAAGCAAATTTTTAGTATTTAGAATTTTGATAAATACGATAAGAGTTCTCTGCAAAGCTTTGGTGCAGGCCTTGCGGTGGAATCGGTATCTGTCATGCCTTGTTATTGAACTAAAGTGTTCACGTTTTATTGGATGGGGTGATAGTAATTTATATCTATATTTTAGCTTTCTGTTCAAGATTGGCAGATTTTCTGTGTCTCTGCATCTTGCCCTCCCTCAGTTCTTACACCTCTCACACTGAACAGGTCTACTTGAGCCATTTAAGTTATTTCTCTACTTTGAGTTTGAGCAATAATGTCTAGTTTTTGTCTTCGTATTTGTCATGAATCATGCTCAAAACAGGATTCATTTTTTATATAGTGTATATAGGCTAATATGATGAGTGGAAAATATGAATAAGTAAGAACAGATTGAAGTACGTAAGTCACGCAAGATCCCGGTGCCACACTGACATGTTGTTGGCTGGATATAATGTACTACATGTGTGTGTGTGTGTGTGTATTCAAAAACATATATTTATAGATAGGTAGGGAGGGAGGGAGGGAGCGAGCGAGAGATATAAATGGAGCATGCGCTGTCATTGTTATGTAACGTGCCCCTGGAAAATGGATGAGCCCCCCTGGAAAAATGAGAAGCTGGGTTGGCAGTCACCCAGTATTATAATCATCTATTGTTTGAAGACTAAACTACAAAATGTACATATGCATTCATTTTAAGACATTATGACTTTTTAACCTTGATGGATGGGCTTTTTTAAGGATCATTCTTGACGTGCAGTGGCCTTATTGTTCCCTCGAATTTGGGTCTTGAACAAAATTTCCAGGATTTGGTGGATACCCTGTGTATTTGATTTCTCTGTAACATATCCCATGACATATTCCTTTCTCCTTTTCCTTTTCTTTTGTTCAAATTGCAGTGGCCGTAGTAAAACATGCTTGTTATACTGCAGAGAATTTAGAGTCAAAGCTCTGTGATTTAAGAATATTTAAGAAAGGGTAACATTGCCTATTGTTTGCTTGTGGTATTTCTTTGTTTGTTGCTATGTTAATGTGCTTACTGATGAGTTCTGTTTGTTTTTCTGTTATTGTATGCTGCATTTTTGGATTGCAGAGTGTTGGTGCACATCTTATTAAAAGTGCTTTAATTTATATTGCCCTCATTGTAAATTTTTATCCAAAGGTGGGGATGGGTGGCTGGCAGTTGCTCTGGTGTGGTTTGCTCCTTCTTTCCCATCAACAACTGTCTTCCTTATCTTTTCTCCTTTTTTGTGTTTGTTACTCTCTTGTAACATTTCTAGTCTTTGACACTTATGTTAATTATGTTGCAAGTTGTGTAAAACGCTAAGTAAAAATTAAGGATGGATTCCAACCATGCTTTCATTTTCTTTTCCAGCTTTTGTTTGATGATGAATTTGATCACATCTTAACTCTGGCTCAAGTCTCTGAGGAGAGTGAGCGGTCAACTCTTGCTCATGCCCTGCTACAGATTTTTCGACATGAGAGGAAAGAAGCCAGTCTGCTTTGTGCTTTGAATGATAAAGAGATTGAGAAAGAGGGTAACTATATTTTTTTAAATTAAAACATTTTTTTTCTTCCATTTATACGTATATTAGGCTTCACTTTTAAGTCATTGTCCCTCTTTAAAATTCTACTGTTGGCATTTAGAGATCCTTAAAAAAATTTAAGTAAATTCAATAGACTTATCAAGGGTTTTATAGCTATGATTGCATTACTGAGTCATGTTTGAAAATATTTTGACGCTTGTTACAATTAAGTATTTAATTTTCTTGTCAAATAATAAGAAAATTGAACACTTTGAAGTAAAACAGTATTTTGTTGTTGGGTCTTTTTTTAGCAATGAGATGCTATAAGACGGTACCTCTTGTTTTTTTCTTTCAGCGTTACTACTTTCCTAATCAGATTCCTAGGTTTTTACGCACTGAATAGTATTAAACGTGCAGGTTAACTCGATTGTAATGTTTCAGGATATTGTTTGTGTTATTGGATGACTTTCTGTGTTCTGATAATAAATATAGTATCATCAGAGAGATATATATTATATATATGTGTCACGATGCTGTTGAATCAGGCGCTCATAAATTTTTAGGCATATGGAGTTATTGGTATCATCTTAAAGGTTGTACGTTTGCCTTTCTTTCGATGAAAAAATATCCTTTTATCTTAAATAGAAGTCTAGATATTTGCGAATGAACGAGGTGGGGTCGCCTGGTCTAAGAAGTAAAATTAGAGAGAAAATGGCCACCAAAGTTTGGTATCTTCCATAGCTCAAGAGTCCTTGGAAACTGCAAATTTACTTTTTTTCATGTCTTCAATCAGTTTTTCCACTAAATCCACACACAAATGTGTTTTTGAATGGACATACAAGGTTTTGAGCCAAAAAAAAAAAAAAAATAAAAAAATTCCATACTGGCTGAAAAAGGCAGATTTCTTCAATTATATTATTTGGACGAGCGCCTGATTTCACCACAATGCCTCACATATATAATATAGAATGCTTATAAGTTGTATATTTCTCATTAAATTTTCCTTGCAGATGAAGTGTCTACATTGTTTCGAGCTGGCTCACTTGCCACCACTCTGATGGTACAATACATGAAAATGACATCAACTATCTTTGTGCACAAAGCAGTAAGAGAGTCTGTGCAGAAAATTGTGGAGCTCAAGCAGTCATGTGAAGTAAGTGTATGCATGGGACGTATTGTAAATTTTATGAAATCTCAAGTCTCTCCAATGATTTTAAGAAGTACTAGACAATACGAATTATGGCTTTGTTTAAGGAGGATTTGCATTTTTAAATGACCCTGGACGGGGGTCTTGGGTCTGAATGAGCCCTGACTTGCACATTATAAAAATGATGGTTACAAACTCTAAAATATGACAGAAATATTTTAAGGTTTGAAAAATCCTATTTGGGATATTTTGTCAGACCTGCTCTAATTACCACGTCCAAGACAATCATCTATACGAACTACCACTTCCAACTCCCCCCCCCCCCCACCCCCCCCCCTTGTGTTTTTAAAAATATTATAACTGCACTGTCCAAGAGGACCACCTGTTTAAGATGACCATTTTTTAAAACTTAACAATGGGCGGACATTCTTGACCGGTCTGACTGCATATCTGAATATTTTGTTGGGGTTCATTACATTTTATTGGTTTCTTTTACAACCTTTCAATAATTATCCAATAGATAGATTTTTTTCCTTTTTATTTCATGGAAGTTAGTGGCATTATACAATTAATCTTTCTTCACTTTCTGCCCCAGCTGGATCCCAAGTTCCTGGAAAATACTACAGATCAACAGTCAAACTCAGAGTTCTTTCTTCGTCTCTTAACAGAGGTGGTGGAGTCAATATTTACATCAACAGAGGCTTGCCCTCCGTGAGTCACTTATCCAAATTAGTGGGGGGGGGGTGGGGGTGTTGGTTTTCACGAATTAAAGGTTTTGTCGAATTAAAGACTGCAAATTTTTTGTCTTAAGAAAAAATTCCCCAAGGGTGGAGTGAAATATTTTTATTTTTGTAGTTGGGCAACCTTGAGGAAACATCTTCTGTACCCCAATTCCAATGCAAAGGCCTTTTGCAAAGCTTTTGTAAATTGATTTAGAAATTTTGAACATTTTAGGTTTAAGTTAAGTGAGATGCTTCAAAGGTTAAGTTATTGTGAGATGACTGGAGACTCTAGTAATTAGTCTTTTTCATTGGTGATACTTTTGTACAAATGTAAGGGTTGTCCCTAGCTATTTTCTCTGCTCATTTTGTATTTAGACTAGGGCTTCCCTGTGCTCTTGATATGAAGATTAATTGTACTGAAATAGCTCACTTTTGATTGTAAAGCTGCCAAGACTCTGAGAACGATAAAATATTTATTTGGAGGTAGTATTCAAGAGAAGTTGTCCTTTGAACTGAGGCTATGTGGACTTCATAGCTATATCGAAAGCTTTAGATTTCACTCTATATATATTTAATTTGGCAATGAAGCATTTGTTTTAAGTTTTATAATTCGTTACTTTCAGAACTTTGCGCTATGTGTGTAATTGTTTACAAAAACGAGCAAAAACAAAATGGCCAGCTGATGACACAGTCAAGACTCGTGTTGTTAGGTAAGTCTTTTTTGTATGTTCATGGTCAGTGGAGTAATTTAATTATCAGCGAGTTCTTGGTGGAATTGTACTCTATGATGCACTGTACTTTTGTTCCGGATAATACATAGTCATTTTGTTACATACCTGGTCAGGTTGGTTGTGAACAAATTTGTTGCATTCTGTTCCATATTGAGAAGCAATTGAAGCTGATGGTACAGTGAAATCTGTCTCAGAACACGCCTTGTTAAAACTTGGTTTGCCTGAGAGACTACTGTCACCCATGTGGCAGGGTTCCCCCCCCCCCCCCCCTCCCCCCCATCCCTATAATTTACATGATTAGGAGCCAGTTCAGAAAATAAATATAAACCCACCTAAATTGGTCTGAAGTGAAGGAAATAACCTTTTTAAAAAAAAAGATTCCTTCAGACATAATAATCATAGAAAAAGGAGACCTTTTTCAAAGCTGAAAAATGTATGCAGTAATGTAATAGAATTTTAATATGGTACATGAGGAGATGTATGGGGAGGGAAGGCGGTGGTATGGCAATCATATTGAAAACAGACAACCTAGTAGAAGCTGAGTGCTGCCACTAGCAATTTGCCTAAAATCCCTGTTTATGGAAGAATCTTTTTTTTTTTCCTTGGATATCACTGCACTTACTTTCAAAATAGTGTCTTTATTAACTAATTGTTCCAGAACAACTAAAACAAGCAGGTGGATCATGTGGTGTTTTCTGCTGCTGTAATGAACAAGTCATTTATGAAGGTCACTGAAACAAGGTTAGATGAAAGGCTTCATGGGGGAATGAATCATCCCTGAAAACGAAACTGCCTAGTTAGACCACTTGGCTGTGTTATACCTCTGGGATAGCTTTGTTCTTATTTTATGGGCAGTTGGGCAAAGGGGTATTTTGGCATCCTGAATGATTTTGAAATTTAAAGAATTTCTATTTGCACATTGACCTATGGACTTTTGCTTTATTTGAACTTTTAATAAATTTACTAAATATTTAAAATGTAAAATTATTATTTTTGTTGTTACTTTTTTTCAGGAAACTATATAGGCCCATGTCATATACATTAATATATCAATTTTTTTTTCTTTCTTTTTGTTCAGTGGCTTTATCTTTCTTCGCCTTCTTTGTCCTGCCATATTGAACCCCAAGTCTTTCAACTTAGTACAGGGTAAGTTTTTGATTAGTATAACAGTAAAGGAGAATTCTGCTACTGGTTGTAGTTATCTTGTGTCAATATTTGTAGTTGACATCCTCTGTTATTGAGAGATGGATGATTTCCTCCAGAGCCCACAGTTACAAACATGTTACACAGACTTCTCTATGTCATAGCCCGACTCCATTGTTATTTGTTCGTTTCGGTTCAGAATAGTCAAAGCATTTCTGATTCAATTTTGCACAAATGTTGAGATGAACAAAGGGCTTGACTCATGTTTCTTGAGAAAAATGCCTAAAACTGAAATTGATGGAACGTTATGTTTTCAGTGCGCTTGTTATCAAGTCCCATTTACATAGTGTAACGGAATTTTTTGTATATATTCCTAATATTTTGTGCTTTAAAAGGTCATACGCTATAGAATTTAATCTTGCGACCACAAAGATTGAATATTCATTCTTTCAATAATTCAACTATTATTAAATTCTTACCTATGTGTAGTATAATCTCAGTTAATTACTTTGTCTCAGCCTTCAGACTGTCTGTTTTGTCTTTGTGAAAAGAAAATGATCCTTCCATTTTGCGTGGTGCTTTCTTAGCAAATTAGCAAGAGGTGGGTTTTTTTTTTGTTTTCATCATGTGCTTGAATCATTTCATCATTTCTACTTTCAGAAAATCCTTCAGAAACAGCTGCCAGAACCCTGAAGTTAGTGGCCAAGGTGCTGCAGAATTTAGCCAATCTGGTAGATGTTGGACCAAAGGTACTGTTTAGGTTTGGGATTTTACAAATGTATAAGTAGTCTCAAAAGAAATGTTTGAAATGGACTATGGATGCCTAAAGTTTGGTTTTGTTGTGTCTTCAAGAGATATTTTTCTGGCTTTGCGGAGAGTTTCTAATTTTTACCTTACTAAACTGAACTGACCTGGCAAAATAGTAACTGTGGCAGTGGGTTGGTGAGATGTTTTGAAAACAAAAATTGGTTCATGAGTGAATGAGGCATAGCTGCCACTTTCCCGCTAAATAGCGGAAACTTCGCTTCATCTAGCTTTTCCCGCTACTTTCCTCCTTCCTCTGCTGTACCGCTCTCGGTCGCAAATTGCGATACTTTTTTACACGCAGAAAACTCCGAACCGGGAGAGAGACAAAAACGCAGCTTGCGCATGTCCGCCCGTAGCTTTCTACTTCCGTTCTTCTAGGCCTAGCGTTAGTTTCACTTTGTTTATTGTGGAGCAACAAAGTGTCGATCGGGCATCGGGACGTTAACGCGCCGATTTGTCATTGAAAACGGCGGAAATTCGAGAGAAATTGATGTAGAATGCAAAAATAAAAGGAGCTCCGCTTGCTGCACTTTGTGTTTGGTGCGATAAAGAAATCGCGGCCCGCGGCACTCCTGTACAATTGCGGTCCCGTTTGTTTACATGACGGCTATTGTGGCTGTTGAAGTGAATCTAGATCTAGATCTAGATAATCTATCTCTAGATATAATCTAGATTTACACATATTTAGATATCTAGATTCTAGATCTAGATTAGATAGCCTAGGCTATACTTTTAATTCAGGTTAGATCTACACTCTACAAAGGGACCACAAAGTTAAGTGCAAACGGGACCGCAATTGTACAGGAGTGCTCAGTACAGCGGCAAAGGTGTTGCCTCCTTGATCCAATACTGCGCGCGCTCTACATCGATGTACAAGTTTAAAGTGAAAGAAATCTTTCTATAAGACACCAGCTTGCAACAAACACTGGATTTTTAGTCACCAAGTCCAAACTGTGTCAAATTGACTCAAATGCTTGTTTGTCTATTTAGTGCCTTTATTGGTTTTTTGTTGTTTTTTTGTTGTTGTTGTTTTTTTTTCAAATACATTTTAATTCAGTTGCCTATGGTTAATAAATATGACAGTTTTCCCTTCCAAAACCATAGGCTAGATTTTCCAGTACATATTGCCTCTGGATCTCACTGGTTTTACTCCGGCCTTCGGAGAGCGCGCGCATCCGCCTTCGCATGAATTTCCTCCTTTTTTGAAATTCCTGAGTGGTAGCTATGATGAGGGCAAAGTACTGGGGACTTGATTCAGTCCCTCTGATTTTTCTTGTTTGTCATGGTTTTATTGCTGGCACTTGTGAAGCATGAACTGAAGAGTAAGAAAAGTCCTAACAAGAAGAATCTGTTTCATATGTACGGACCCAATGTTTGTAATGGAGGACAGGGCTTTTTATGTGTCTACAATAACCCAGATTGTCTTGACACACCAATTCATAAGCAAAAACGCATCAACTTTATTTGTATGTTTATTGGAAATGACCACGGGCAGTATGTCTGTATACAGTCGAACCCGCTCAAACAACCAGCTGTCAAAGACAGTCACTAGTACAAATGAAATGGCCTCTTCCCACTTCCCTCTTGCATTGTTTTTTAAAAAGCAATTGAGACACTGTCCAAGACGTCCACTTGTCTGAGACAGTCACTTTTCTCCTTGACAGTGGACGGCTGTCTTGGACAATTTCAACTGCATTTTGGTATTTCAGTTCCCACTGAAACGTGTCGTTTAATGTAAAGAAGAGACTTGACTAAAATGGAGCCAGTGTCTGTCAAAGAAAGAAATAAAGTCAAAATTGGTAGAATGGAGTGGGGTTATTTTTCATCGAATATCGTGAGTACAAATAGTGTGAAATAAGTTTATGCCATTAAAAGGTGCTTCGAAGACGGCTGTACAAACTTCAAGGTTCATGTCGAGGTAGCCCAGACTGGACCAAGTAACGGGAAAGAAATCAAAAAGGAATTTTAACAGACAGAAAAATGTTCTCATGGAGTTTTCTGTAGTAAAATGACCTTATATTGCCTACATTTTTAGCTTTTTGTGTTATTTCAGGAAGCTTACATGGAAGTTGTTCAGCCTTTTGTCAAGAAATACAGAGACAAGATGATCCTTTACTTGGATGAATTGTCTGTAAGTTGTTAATAAATATTGCTAGTGATAGCTTACTGTATTTATTCTTTCTTGTGTAATCTATCGTAGCCTGTCCTATCATTTGTATTTTAAAATATTGTTACTGTAGAACATATTTTGCTGTGTACGTGTTTGCAGTCTGTTTCCAAAGCAGGCTAATTTTGTCAGTTCTTCGAAGAAAAAAAAGTTATTGCATTATTTTACTTGCCCATTTTTGTCCACATATGTTGTCTTTTTTGTACTCTCATTCTCTGGATAAAAAATAAAATCAAAATGGGGGTAAATGCCAATTTGAGCTTCAGTCATATCTTTCAGGTATTAGGGCTTGAAACATGATATTCTCAGCTGTAATGTTCACATTCTGAAGTTGTAGGTCCTATTTAATATTTTTACCTAAGCGTACCAGCTTATTTACTTTCAAGGGATTTTAGTCATTAATATTGCTAAGATTTTCAAAATCGTATGAGTCTGAAGTAGTGCATGAAACTAAGATTTTACTGTATTTACTTTTCAGTTTTAAAAATTTCAAAAGAGACTAAAGATTCTGTTTTGCAAGTTATTAAATAGAGGGGGGGGGGGTGTGTGTGTATGAGAAAGCTTAGGGTTTTTTTGGTCCTGTTTTCTTGGACCGGCTTTAATAAGCCTAATGACTTATTATGTGGCAAGTGCCGTAAACCCATATTAAAACAAAAACCTGATGAGTTAAAATGTATCCTCATTTCTCAGAATGTGCCAAAGGAGCCATTGAGCCATGAAGTGTTACCAGGTGACCCAGCCCGAGAGCTGGCAACGATCCACCAGCTTTGTGCCACCCATCTAGAGTCACTCAAGTCCCATATGCTCACACAGGTGAGACACTTTTGTAGCCTTTTTAATGCTTTACACTTTGTTTTCTGTTGCCTTTATCTTGTTCCAATTTCGAGATTGTGCATATCTCAGCCAAAAAGTCTCTCATGGAATGTGCTCGATCATTGATGAGATTTTGAATGTGTTGACTGCACTATGATAGATAAATATTGAAGAAAATCAGTCATGAACTCTAGAACTAGGTCAGCTATGGGCAGATTGTATTCTGGTGACCATGAAGTTTAGAATGAAAATGTACAAGCAATGTATGCCAAAAAATCAAGTCGAATATAACCGAGATAAAGTTGAAGATTCGGAGATTGTAAGACAACATTTATAAACAGCACAAGCCTGGTTCACTGTTCATTGGACAGCAAATGAAACAGTGTTTAATGAAAACTGGAAAGACATGAAAAAAGTGTTTACAGAAACAGCCGAAGAACTGCTGGGAGAGAAAAAAAATTTTTAAAATAAAAAGTAAAGATATATCTGAAGTTTTAAATCTGGCGGAAGAGAAAAGCCAAGCCTGCAAAGGCAATGACAAAGCTGAATATGAAGACATAAAAGAGAAGTAAGAAGAAAATCATCTTGAGACAAGGCAGAATGGCTGGGAAAAGAATGCAAATTGTGGCTGAAGTAAAATTTGAAAGAGAAATCAAAGGCAATGTTCAACCAAATAAAGAAACTAAAACCTATAGACTTGTCAGCTAAAATTTTAGCATGAACGCCGAAAAGGTAAAACCCCAACAGAAACAAAAGATGTTCTGAATAGATGGCTTGAGTACAGTAAGACACTAATTGATACCACACAACCACAGGAGTTGGTGAATGTTTCCCGTCTCGACCATCATGCACTGAGGCAAGTCTCCACATCAGTGAAGTAGAACTTATGAATGCGAAAAGAAATACAAAAACACACGTAATGGCAGTTGTGCAACAGGACAAAGTAGGAGCGAAAAGGAATGTAATGAAATGAAAGGACAGTGGTCTACAACTTTATGAGGGAGCTCTTGTAGTCTAGAGGTTACTGTGTTCGCCTCTCATTCAATAGGTCCTAGGTTCAAAATCTGACAGCAACAGAAAATTTTCTTCTCTAAAATTGTCCCCTTTCACCTCCTTTCCTGCTCTCTTACTGTGTTCTGTGGTCTACTTTTGTCTCCACTTTCTGCCACCACTGCGCCCCCCCCCCCCTTCTTTATATGTACTTGAGGTGCCTTAAGTGTGGCAAGTAAATGACAATATAGTTTCTCAATTCGTTCATCGTTATTTTTGAGTATTTTATCCGTTTTCAATTTTTTAAAATCAATCTGTTATTTCTTTTGACAAGAGATTTCATTCTTTGCAATATTCTTTAGGATGGTTTGGGGGTTCTAAATATAGGTACCAGAAACTAAGTTTTCAAAGTAGCTGTATGCCAAAGTTATCTGTTCCACATGAAAGGCCTATATCCATGAGCATTTTGGTACCCTTTAACCTCTCAGTCAATTTTTAAGAAAGTGGTAGTTGTTTAAAATTTTATCAAATTTGTTAAAGTCGGTCACTGGCTGCAACCCCATGTTTGACTGATAATAAAAGAGTACCAAGTGCTCTAAACATCTCCACATTAACAGAATACTATCACTATAACATATAGATGGAGCTTAATTTTTTTCAAGTCTGTGAGATCATTACAAATAGTATGTTATCACCTCAAACACGATGATCTGTTGTTATTTCAACAAAAACACAGAGCGTTGACCCGGACGGCACCGCACCAGCCCCCGTGGCGAGCGAGTTGGCTCAATACTGTAGTGTACCCTGCATAGGGGTTACATGCTTTCCGAGTTTGCCGGAAGGATTGATGCAAAATAATTCCAAGCTGATTACTTTATTCTAATAGGAAATAAACTGATGTTTCTATTGGTGCCTTTTTTGAGCCGGTAATTTACATATTTTGTCTTAAAAAATTATCTTTGAAAATTTTGATGTTATTTTTAAAGGCTTTCTATTTAAACATCAAATGCCAAAAATATACCAGGGGAAAGCCCATTCAAAGCTCTACAGTTCTTTGCCAATGAAAAGACAGTATTTAATCATCCATCTTTTCGCGAAGCATTTGAATGCACGCGTGTCAATTTTTGAACCACTGACCACCCATTCCGACCGCGAGGGGCTACGCTTTCCTCTGCGATTCTCCAGCTCCTAATAAGCAGGCATATAAACAACTTACACCACTGTAACGAGGAAAAGCTGAACTTTTACAAGGTGTGCGGCATTTGGTGTTTTGTAGCGAAAGAGCAAAGAAACAGCAATCTGACTTACCCCGATTTCACATTTAATACGCGCTCGGAAGGCCGTGTTTATGCTACTTACTAAATGTAATGGAGAGAAAATGTTAAGTCGTATCTTCTAATCCTATCTTTCCATTCAGAGTAAAGTCTGAAATCTCTTGAAACAAATGAAAAAAGGCTCACACTGTGTTCCTTTAAAAAAAATCTATATTTTCCCTTAGGTGTCAACAAAGAAAATTGTGGTTGTGACCGAGATGTTGACAAATCACAAGAAGCGTTACATGGGCGACACGTGACACACTGATAGATGATGGCATGCAACAGACTTCACTCATTGGAACCAATAGAAGCCAGGACCAATGTCAGGAACAGGAGACAGGTGTTGCCTGCATGTGCTGCTTAAAGTCCAGATGCCTGCATACTCAAAGGACAGGCGGTGTGGGGCGACTACAGTGAACAACCATTTTGGTTGAATGACAGGCCAGGCAGTACTGGTGACTATGACTTCAAGACTGGATTATCACCCTTGCATCACACTCCTGGCCTCCCCCCGAAACCTTCATTGCTGAATCAAGAGGACAAACAGGAAGTGTGAGCTAAAACAGTTTTTCAAATGAGAAACATTCCTTGACTAGTCCCGTGCATTTTTGTCGACTTTAAAATTTCTTATTAGATTTGTCAGGCTAGTAGCCGACCAAAAAGAAGTGGTGCTGAATATTTTGGGTTTTAAAAAAATGTATAAATTGCTGTTTTCTTTTAGCAAATATCATTGGAGTTCGGATGTTTTCGTTCTTGCCTGACTTAGAAAATTTTTTTTAGTTTCACATATCTCTTTGGGAAAGATGTTCACATTGTATTTCTGTCTGTCTTCTTCACTGCTTGGACAGGTCTTGTACCTATTCTGTAGCATAATTCTACCTTTGATGTCTAGCTCTGCCTCTTGCAATGTTTGTGCCTCTTTGTCTCTTGTTAATATTTTTTTAAGCACTGCATTTTTAGCACTAAAGTAAATACCATCCATAGTTGTTTCTTTACTTGTTTTTTTTTTAATGTAAAAGAAACCACAATTGTTTTTGGTTTATTTTTTAAATATTTCAATTGAAAAGTAGTTAGCGAACATATGGGAACAACCCCCTGTGGACTTCGGGTCTTGACTGTATCCAAATTTGGCCTGGGCATTTTCATCTTTGTTTTGTAATTATGAATGTTTATATTTAATTGTATATTTATTTTGTTGTTTGTATTATGATATATTCACAGAGGCATGTGTGTTGTAAAAAGTTGTAAAATTACTTGAATAAGTCATCAGTCTTGGTTTTATAAATTATTTTGGTATGCTGAAAAATATTGATTATGGGGCGATTGTTTGAACACTTTTACAGTTTGATGGCTTAATGACACTTAAAGCCATGACATTTATTATTGCCAAAAGCAATATCTTTGTGATGCAGACTGCTTTTTGATGAGCCTTTGGCTCGGTGTCCTGTGCTGTGCTTTGTATCATGACTGTAGTGCTCATACAGTCAGGGAGTTCAATAACCTCAAAATGAGGTGAAAAGGGATGACTACGGATATGTGTAACAAAGGGACCTTGACATATGGTAGATAGGGAATATCACCCAAGATGTGTTCATCTGATCTGCTTTTAATATCTAATTTTTTTTTTTTCTGAGATAGAATACTCTACTGCATTGAAGGTATCAGTAGCAGAGGTTATAATTTTTACATATTGTTCATATTTTGTTCTTGTCATGTCGGCATTGATTTTTTGCTGTGGTCAGTAGAAGCAGTGGATATTCTTCATTTTTCAGTAAACAAAGTTAGAATGATTTAACTCTTTCTCTAAACAAGAGGAAATTCCTCTCTGGGGTGTGTGGAACGGGTATTTCAAAATGATGTCAATGGTCACTTGAAACATTGTACTGTAATTAAAGAAAAGCAGTTGTGATAGAGAAAAAAGTCTGCCGTCATGATACTACTGAAAGAGAACAAATCGACTGCTCGGAGTAGTCAGAGGAAGACTCTGTCAAACGCCAAAATAGCTTATCAATAAGTTTTACACAAAGCTGTCGAAATGTTGTTCATATTTTTTAGGTTCTGACAGGTACAGTGGAGTCCACTTAAACTGAACATGGTTAAACAAAAAATGGCAATAAATCAAAAGAAATTAGAATCCCAACGTTTTTTCTGCTTAGTTTATGTAAAGATACTATCGATTAACCAAAATGTTCCTATCTCTAAACCTAAAAGCATTTGAAGGGTAACATTGTCTAAATCTTCACAAACATCCCTCTAGTAACATGTTAAATCATCAATTCTTATGCACTGCAGGAGAAAGAAATTTGAGAATGCATGTGTGTCAATTGAGGGCCAGAGAGGCATTGCCAGTGTACTGTTTTCTTTAGTTTGTCACACTCATCAAGATGTTTGTGCACTTTGTAAGAGTCTAGTAATACAAGGATAGCCAATGTGTGTCTGCAGCATGAACTTCGGTTGATTATGACCCTTTGTTTCTGTGAAGCTAGTCCACATAGGCCCTACACATGAGCATGTGACGGCACAAAGTGTGTTTTATATTGGACTTTCTCGTTTCTCTAGCCCAGCACAGAGTAGTTTGCAGTGCAATGTGCTGATCTTCTCATTTTTCTGTCTTTTGTAATTTTTCGGTAGATTAACTTAGCAGAGAGTGTTAAAGAGAAAGCACAATGCATACATCCTGCAGTCCAAATTATAGTTACTGAAAAAAAGACAATGTAAATGAGAAAAAAACTTTCTTAAAATGAAATTTTCTGTTGTAAACTTGACATTCCCAACTCTACATTGCTGACAATCATCACTATTTGAGCAATCTCAAGAAACTGAAAACAGAGCCAGGCCGTAGAAAATCCGATGGTCCTGCAGGTTTCAGTTTAAGCAGACTCTACTGTAAGTGTTCTGATAAATTGGCTTTAGTATTGAGCTACGCAAAATTTGCATTTATAATCCATTTGGCTCTTTCTGGTATTCCCTGAAGGTAATTAAGGCTGTGTGTCTACAGCAATTCAACTTTGTTTGAATCTCAGCACATGTAGTTTGGAATACCTTGGGCTCCAAAAGTATGGGTCTTTCACTCTTGGGATTTCTTGACAGCAGCCATGATTTGATAATGTTGGTGTTTGTTGAGTTAAAGAGAAGTCTTTGGAAGAGGTTTTTATGTACTTGCAAAAAAAACCAAGAGGGTTGACCAGAGAAACAACAGGGACAGTGAAGAAGGACCTGCCAGTTGTGCTCTCTGACCACTTGCTTGATCATGTTACGGGTCCACGCATAGAGAATAGTATTACTGATTCAACCACCTAGCACTGTTGACCAGGACCAGGACTTTGATCTTCAGCTTTTATTGATGTAGTCTGTTACTGTAGCTTATATCCCAACTCACACTCACCCCACCTGCCATGCATATTGTCGGCGAAAGATTTTTATCATATATATACTATTTCATAATTGATGGAGTAAACAATTATAACATACTATTTTTTTTTTTTTATTGCTTTCATGTTATGTCATGTTGTTCTGCAATCAGTGTTAAAAACAACAACAAAAAAAAGGAATCTAAATCAAAATGTTCTATTTAGTTTTCCTTTGAGAAGTCTGTGAATCTTATGTTCCAATTATGTGATTGAACTGCGATTTTCCTTAATGGTGCTGAGTTAAGAGCCTTTTGTGCTGGAATTTTTAATGAGTAGATACAGAATAAAAACGAAATGAAAATGCAAATATCACTCGACCCTGTACTGTTTGAGAAATGTGAACATATATGCAAGACCCAGTCCAGGGATATATTTAACTACAGTCTGTGAATTTACAGCCTTTTTGTTTTCTATTTCCAGAAAAAAATTTTTGCCATAATTTTCAAGTCGGAGAAGACTTGCCAGGCTTGATCTATGCACGTTGGATTGTTACCTGTGTGCTCTGGCACTTGTGGGCCATGGTGTATCTTGTTCTCATTCTGTTGTTGTTACATTTCATGAAATTTGATGGTGGGCCTTACAGATATACCTATGAATTTAGGAGTTGATCAACAAATCTAGTCATATGTAATTATGTTATTGTAGATGTGATGCTGCTGCCTGTGTTTGAAAGGCATTTGTACACGTATATAGAGTATATTCATAATTGCATATTCTTTGTATTGCTGAATCAGAATGTGTTTAGCATTGTCTGAGTTATGTACAGGTGTTTTACTATAAGTCTCTGAGTTGCCTACTGTTCTCATTAAAGGTCTTGTTTTTGGTTTTTTTTCCCGAGAACTTCATTATGTCATAATGGTCCGTCTCTTCTTTTCTTGCTTTTCACATTATCAGGTATGCAATGATGTGCTTATGTTCATTTTTTTTCCTCGTTGGAAGATGTTAGTTGTGTAAGGAGACCTAATACTGTATCTGGAGGGAAAGTCATGTTGTATGTATACTCTCATAGTATGAAAGCAACAGGAAGAGAACTATCAAAGAATATGACAGGATCAGCCAGTTTTTTCTTTAAAGGAACCACGGCACCTTCAGAAGAACTTTATGTGATATGCTTTGGAGCTTGTTTTTTTTTGTGGTCTCTCTGTCATGTGTGGACATTTGAATGGACACTGCCCAGACGGTTCCATCCATCATCTATGACTTGCGTCTGGCCTTTCAAGTTGAGCTTGCACCACATAGCTACTGATGAATTAATTTTGACTATTCTTTTGTCGGAGGATGTAAAATAGCAATAACTTTAGCATGATAGTCCCATTTGTGGGTTTTTACATAATGTCTTTGTAGACATAACTGAACTGAGCATACTCCCAAACCTGTTTATAGTTTTGACTTCTCTTTTAAGTCAATTTCTATGCCTTCATATTCTTTATCTCTGTTCCTTGTGGTAATCTCCAGCTTTCTTTTAGCAAATGGGTGACGATTGTCCATAATATGCCAAATTCTTGTCATGTTGAGCTGGACTCTTTCACATCTCCCTTGTAATGGTTCCTGTAGTAATATGCAACCATTTTCTTGCAGTTCCACGAGTGGAGTTTTCGCTTCTGTGGTTGTGAAAAGAAAAAAAATTTCTTAAAAATTCTTCCTTAAAGGCAATATGTTGAGATTGAATCGACAGAGCTTATTATATAAAATATGAGCAGTCAGGGGAGTGTGGTGTTCAAGTTCAGAATAAATTAGTCTCCAAACTTAAACATAATTGTGGGTTCTTGCTGTTACTTTTGAGAATGTTAATCAAAAAAATTAAATTTTGCACATGTATGGTTTAAGTTATGGACTAACATTGTCAGTTGACTGACATTGTGTGTAATTGTGAACTCGTGTATCATCAGTATTTGTAACCTGGAGGCGAATTAAGTTACTAACATGGCCTTAAACTCTTTATAGCTGGTTAATTTGCTATGGCAGCTCTTGTCTTTCCTCTTCACGCACTGTCGCCACTCTTTTAGGCAAAGAAGCATGACTGTCTGTTGTACATGTTACATCAACTGATGATTTTACTTCATCATGGACATCTCAGAATTAAAGATGACACTGATGTCTTGTGCACAGCCTCCACCATCATGTTTTGTTCTCCTAATGTGTTTGTATGTGTGTGTGTGTGTGTGTGTGTATGTGTGTTGGGGAGGGGGGGGGGGGGTGTTATTTACTCTTTCCAAAGCATGTGCATAATTTGGCTAATGGCTAATCCATGACTGGCATTGCAACCTGAGCACTCTTTCAATTTGTTCAGTGTTATTCCCTTCTCTGAGATGTCATCCTCTGGGGTAGATTGAGATTCTCAATGTCCATTAAAAAGATAGAAGTAAGTCTTTGTGGACCTTTTATACATTTCTTTTATTTATGCATTTGTAAAGAATACTTTACAGCAGGTAGTTTTCATTTCTTCATCATGTTCAGATGTGCTTTTACTCGTATTATATTATTATAATGACATTACTGCAGTGGAATGTCAGGCTAGGTTTCTTTTATATAAAAAACTTTACTGTTTTGGTGATGATTTTGGACAACTGTTGTACGTGTATAAGATGAGCATAATTATGTTTGATTTATGTTTTTTTCCCTTGTGTTGCTAGATCTAGACCATAAATCTGTTTTTAAAATAAAAAAAGAACACGACTGCAGGAAATTTTCATTTTTCCAAAAAATTGTCATAAAACCGGAAAGTATGTATTAAAATAAATAATAAGTCCATCATTCAATCGAGTGTATTATATAATTTTCATCTTATTTGATAAGAACTTTCTTTCAGGGAAATGCATAATAAAGAAGATTTACAAGAAAGCTGACCCGACACAATATTGGCATGAAGGTCTATTCTGGATCTCCAAAAGTTGTGTCTTTGATGCATGTTATGATCGCAAAGCACTGTGTCATTTGTCCTCAGATGGGGAACCACGTAGGCTGTAGGATTAATTTCGTAGATCTATGCACTGTCATGGTCAGAGATTTGAAAGTTCTTGTTTCCCCCCTTCCTCTCAGCCAAGGAGGCATATTTTTATGCTCATGGCTCACTGTCAGCTGCTGAACTGTACAGTTAATGTTGACAACTATCCTGTAATATTATGAAGTGATGTGCAGTGTATGTTCCCATCTGGTGCACTGTGGGATTGTGGTTATACCCTTTGCCGTTGCACATAGGAAGAGTGAGTGAGATACTTAGGCAGAGAAGTTACCTGTCAGCAGGGATTGAGTCCCACTTAGTCTTACTTAGCCCTGACAGGCAGAGCTGCAGCAACCAGCCTCCTAAATGGTCTTGACCTGTGCCTTCGCGGTCAAAACATTTTACAACCAGTCCCTTTAGTGCTTACATTGTGCTGACTCAGAAGTTTATGAAGTTTCAAATACTTCTGTTCCCAGCTGATCTCGCCACTGATGGTCTTACGGGGTTTAACCCTGGCTTTGTGGAGTGAAAGGGTGTTGCTGTCTCAATATGCATGTACAACCCTTCACTCTCCCTATACCATGCATGGTTGAGGAGGGCCCTGGAATGGTTGCTCTTTTATTTCTTTTCACTGTTACCATTACTCTATTCTGATCCAGAAGAAATGTAACTAATTGTGCGGAGTTGCCATTAAGCGTAGCCCACCAACTCTCCTTACCATGCCTTTGCTATCTGTATTTCTTCTTTCGCTTTCTTTTGCACATGAACACTTGCTCGCTCTTTCACTCTTTAACATTACAGCATTAGATAAGGCTATGATGAATGAATTTAGCTGGGTGGGCTGCAGGAGTAGATGTTGATGCTCAGATTCTCTTTTTTTTTTTGTCTGTGGCTTTTAAAACATTGGATAAAAAGGAATCGACCAGGCTGTGTTGTATTGATGCATTTTAATTATTTTTCTTATGTGTGACATGGATGTGATGAGGTTCATGTGAGACTTTTATTGAAAGGAAATTGCTTTTAAATCAACCGATGAAGAATACAGATTTGTACTCCTTGTAATTTTTACTTTCAGAGCTTGTCAAACTTGTTTTTCTCTCTGCGGACTGTATAGCACCGCATCTGTGAATGAGCCGTAAGAATACAGCACCTTGTTGATTTATCAGCTCTTGCTTCACCTTTTTATGGGATGACGGCAATGCCCAAGATTACTTTCAGCTATGAGCACCTTTTACCCCGTGTCGTTTCTATTGGTTACCTGAGCCTTTTGTATTTCCACTTTGGACACCTCTCTGCACTTGATGGTTCCATTATTCTGACTTGAGCTGCCTTCACGCATATTGCCTATTTTCATTACGTGCAAACTTGTTTCGTTCTACCTGTACTTTTTTAAAATGTCTTGAGTAAATTAAAATTAATCTGTGTATTGATGATTGATGCATGTCGCATGGCTGGACCAACGAGCCCAGTGTGGTTATTTTACTTGTAGAATGGACATCCTACCCTCGTCTTCTTAGATTCAAAATGTTTACTTGTAGGCCCCTACTTGGATGGCAGCAGCACCTGGAATAATTACATTTATCTTTGAAAGTAAGAAATGGGGAAAAACATTGGCATTTGAAAGTCTTTTTATTGGAAACCATAATGAAATAGATTTTAATTTAGTACAGAACCGTTGAAGTTTTATGCTCATCCTTTTTTTGTTTTTTTTTGTTAATAGTAGTCAGTATTTTGTGTGCATGTGAATGGCATGTTTATTTGAGCTGATGTCATTCAGTATCCAGTTTTTTCTGCACTTATAACAATACATTCACTTCTCCTGTCATGATTTTCTTTAGGATGATTTATTTTTGTGTCTTTACCTTGGATGCCTTATTCTATGCATGTTCAATGTTATTGTTATTGACCACTCTTGCGAGTTGGCCTCAGATTTTTGAGGTAATTTGTTGTCCAGCCACACTGTTTTGAATGCATCCAGGTAAGCTTTTTGACGTAAACTTTTGAACTCTGTACAGAAAGATGTGTAGTAATCTTGGTCTGTGCAAATATCATATAAAGAACCTTTGTTTTGCTGCTTCCTTTTTTATTATGGGATGGGATGGGGTGGGGGATTGCGGTGTCGCAAAATATTATATAATGCCATCAAGTGCGTTAAAAACCTATAGAGGCATAAAAATTTAACTGTTTCAACAGGAACAATGAAATACTATAAAAAATTATATGTTCGCTGTCTAATTCCCATGTAGGCACACATCTCTGTTTGGAATAGTGTTGAATCTTTTCATAGAACTACAAGGGCTGTGTTTCCTACTTTGTGTTGAAAGACTACTCTTTTGGTGTGTTGTTTGCATACATACCATTCTGCTATGAAAGGTCACATTTTTCTGGAACTTTCCTTGAGCCATGAGCTGCATTTAGTGTAGGGAGAGACACCCGTCTATTCCTTGTCTGCCGTTTTTAACATCCAAAAATGCTCCTAACTAGGATGTCACTGCCTTTGTTTAGCTCAAGCAGTTACGCTGTAGCAAGTGAAGGGGTTGTATTAGAGGTGTGGCTGGGGTTTTTTTCTCATATGATAGACAAGTACTTATTTGTGCATGTGTTGCAGCAATTTAGCATTGTAGAAGTGAGAAGAATAAGCATGTGGAGAGTATAGGGTAAAGTTCATGTGCATTACTTTCTGAAAGTTATTCTGTCACTTCCAAAAATTGATTAAAAAAGGGACTTAATTGATTCTCTGTATTGGTCAAAGAATGTGGGCTTTTAACACTTTGCAGTCACTATAATGCGCCGGTGAAAATTGTCCGTTCCTGAGAAGTTTGTTGCAGTCACTCTCCTGGCTGGGTGACCAGATGGGGTATTTTGCACTGCTGGCTGTGGGAGTGCAAAGTGTTACAAAGGATTTTTTGTTTCAGTGATAATAATCAAGGACTCAAATCTTGTCAGTTACTGGTTGTACCTTTTTGCCAGTTGTAATGGAAAACACAAAGCAAGAACCCTCCTGCCATGGCTAGATGAGTCATCTGCAGAAAACACTTGTTATGGTGCAAGTGTGACACGAAATAATCAATTTAAGATTGCCGGTTCATTTTGAGTTTGAGTCAAAAGAAACATTACCATACCGTTGTAATAGTTGTAAAGTTCATAAAACATGCTGTTAAGCGTGGATATGTGCTGTATAAATGCAATCATAATCTTTATGTCGAGCATTTAGTGCTGGAAAATGAGACAAACAACAGCGGAGGTAAAGTAAAGATGTACGACCTACTAGTGGCATCATCCATCCTACCACCAGGAGTTTCTCATGACAGTTACCAAGCAGAGAGTGCCGTTAACATACACCGTGTAGAAAGAAATCTAAAGTCGTTCTGCCTTGAAATAGTTTTAAATGTTCAAACCTCTGACACTAGTAAGAGATTGCATAATAGTTTTCGGCAGCTGTTTCTGTGTTCTTTTTCTCTAATTCTTTATAAACCTAGGTAGTGGTTTGCTGCATAATAAGTCTACTCTCTCTTCGATTAGATTACTTTTTCTTTGTCACTCTCAAATATCAAATATTTAATTGTTTAGTGATTTTAGGAATTATGTGTTCTATGATTTGACAGAGACATTTTTATTTAATGTGAGGTTTTCCCTTGTAGTTCATGAACTTCGTATAAAAAAATTCTTTATGACTTTGCTCAAATTATTTTTCATTTGATTTTTTAACAAGTTTGTTATATTTTCATTTTTTGTCCCTCGCATCTTTCTATGAGATTTTCAAACTATTTGCAATGGTTTCAAAATAAAAAGGATACCGAAATGTTTGATATATTGAAATGAAAAATGAATCAAAGGAGTGCAAATGAATTCAGTCATTTGTCTTTATTATCAGGCATATTATATTATTTATGTATATGAATATTTATATATATTTATATATATATATGCCGTCATATGATTCAATATTGTGGTATGTCAAAAATAAAAATAGGTTATGTTGTTGAGTTTGATGAGGATTATCGATTGGTCCTAGTCTCTGTTCCCTTCTTAAAACAGTAACGGATTTAGGCAAATTCAACATTTTGTATTAACATGTCCTTCACGAAATAAAAGTTTTTTTGTTTCTCCTGAAAACCTCATATTTTGACATACGACAATGATGAATTACAAAGATAACTTTACATATATATATATATATATACGTGTATATATATATATGCATTCATATATATAAATTTGTATACAGTTGTATTGAAAATGAATTCCTTACATATTTTGTTAAACTACCATACCATTGTCATTGTTCAGCACCGATTTATAATTGTAAATTCCTGTATAGTAGAATTACATCAGTTACACTCCATGGATGTTTTCGTTTGCTTTTTTGTCAAGGAATATTCTAAATTTGAATTTGCTGGACTTAATACCCCCCCCCCCCCCCCCCCCAAAGTAAACAACACTGGCTTTTGTGGAGGCTTCATCCCTGTCAAAGCACAACAGCTAGTTCATTTTTCAAAAAATGACTTTTTTTTCTATAATTCTGTGTTCAAGATCTCTGTGAATGCAGAACACACTCACATATCATTGCTTCATTTGGGTCCTGGCTGAGAGTAAGACCTTGCTCATGTCAGTGTCTCTTCAAGGAAAATGTTGTGGGTGTTTGACGGGTGCTCCAGTGCGGTTTGCTCCTTCTTTCCTATCAAATATCTATCTTCCTTATTTCTACTTCTTCTTTTTTGTGTATGTTAATGTTACTCTCTTCTAAAAACTCTAACCTTTGGCACTTGACCGAATTGCGTGGCAAGTGCCTTAAAACTTTTACTAAAAAGGAAAATGCTGCCCTATCTAGGAGTCTCGGCTATCACCCCTTCTTTTATATTACTACTGCTGCTGTTCTAATTATTTCTGTATCCAACGCCTAAACTTGATACTGTTGTGCAATGTCTGAAAACTCTTTTTATTTAGACATGCTCAGTGGGTGCTCTGTGTGGTTGGCTTCTTTCCTATCAAACATCTATCGTTTTTATCTCCCCTTCTTCTTTTTTATGTTTGTTATTCTCTTGTAACACCTGTAATCTTCTGGCGCTTATATGACCTTATGCAGTTGCGAGCGCCGTAAAACCTCTACTAAAACTAAAAAAGACATGCTCAGAACTACAGTGAAATCTGCTGAAACGGGAATCTGCAGGACCACAGGATTTTCTTTGGTTTAGAGAGGCTTGCTCAATTAGTGTTGATTGTCGACAGTGTTGAGCTGGAATACTTTACTTTTTCATCCTCTGTTGCCGTTAAGCGCTGAGGGGAGATGTAGTTTTCTATGGAAGGCCAGCTCCGAGCTGGAATGCCATGTTTAATTTTCTTTTTGAACGTTTTTTTCTTCTCATCTGCCTTTTTCAGTAACTGAAATTTGAGCTGTAGGCTGCACACATTGTGCTTTTTCTTTGATGTTGTCAGCTTGCTTCATCTGCTGAACAGTCGCATAGGACAAATGAAAAAGTAGATAGGTAAGAAAGAAAGCCCGATGCCAGCGACATGAAACAGACCATGCGCCTTTACATGCTCATTTGTACGGTGTATATCGTCGCTTTTAGATGAAACCGAACTTCTCCTATAGGTAGGGCAATGCCCTTTTTTGATGTAGGTCAAGATTTCCGGAAACCCCCGAAATCTGGTTTAGCCCGCTTGTCCTTAAAAGCGACCATATATGTGAACTAGCTTCACGGAGACAATAGGCTATGACCAACAGAAGGTAGTGCAACAGACGTACATTTGCTTTCCTTGCTTCACTGGGCCCATATACTATACACATTGTGTAGACCTATTGGTGTGTTTGATAAAGGTAGGCCTACATTGGCGATGCCGCTCACTGAACTGCAATTGACACAAATGAGTTCTCATATTTCATCTGTTTTGCTATTTTACTTGAGGGTCACTCGTGAAGAATTAGACAGCATAACTGTTGAGCTTCTTTTCGGTTTAAAAATTTCAGCTAATTCCAAGTTTTCTTACAAAGACAAAGAAGAGAAAAAAATAGGGGATTTTACTTTCTTGTGGTTTTCCAGTTTTCGGATCAACCATGTTTGGTGTTTGTGGACTCCGCTATAGATATAGATATAGATATAGATATATATATATATATATATATATATATAAGTCAAAATTGTCCACGATTGCTAACCATTGTCAAGGTAATAAGTGGTTGTCATATAGGCCTACAGGTTGATGTCTGGAAAAGTGATATATTATTTTAAAAGGCAAGGGGGAAATTGGTCATTTGTAAAGATTGTCTTCGATACGTGGCCATTAAAGCTGGTTCAACTGTATGTATATAATTGTACAGTGGAATCCACTTTTCAACTCTATGAATATAATTGTACATGTACAACAATACGTTGCGCCCTACAAAAAGATGAAAGAAAGATAAAGAAAACTCAAAACAAATTTCAAAGAAGTTGGGAACAGTGTGAACAATAACTCGGTTAAATCACCAATTTTCAGAACTTGTTTTATTATGCAATACTTTGAAAAATCTCGTACCCATTAGCTCTTAAGGGTCACAACATGTTATATATATGATTTTAATAAGCAGTTAACTCCACAATAAGTTAAGAACGGAACAAACATTTTGTAGAAATTCAATACACATTTACAAACCAACAATCTACAAACTCTGCGTAGTGTTATCGTTTACTTAAAAACAAATTCACAGGTGTTATAAAATTATATTTTGACATTTATCAGTCACATTGAATTCTTAAAGAGCTAATTTCAAGGGAAATGTGTTATCAATCAGTAAATCAACAGAAAGCATTTATCTTCGGCAAGCTGTTCAATTCTTCAAAGCCATCTGGAAAGCAACATTTTTCAGGAGAGGAAAAAAAACTTTAAATTCTTTTTTAATAACTGTATCTACATTATGTTCCCCTTTTCTCACTGAAAAAAAAAATGATCATCTAAAATTTGAATTTAAACAAAATATTTTTTGAGTAGGCCTACATGCAACCAATACTAATACCACAGATTATGGAACTGAAATTGCAATTTACCAAAAAAAATTGTTTTTAAATCAGAATTTGGGGTTAAGTATGAACAGCAGACTGACCTTATAGATCTTCTCTTCAGGCTCTCTAAAGATCCCTTTTGTTTTGAAAATCACTGTCCTGATATATAAAAACATCTCTGGGTTTTCATCAGTTTGTATTATAATGATCAGAAGGCACAAGGTCAGGGTACAAATCCATATGAGTAACAAGTTAACTCACTCAGGCCTGGGGCCAAGGACCCGGTCTAATGACTGTACCTAGTACTAGTAGTTTAAGATGTTTTTGTAAAATCGGAAAAAAAATACTAAATCAGCTTTAATCGCCATAATATTTCACGTACAATTTGTATAGTCATTACATGGACTATTACTGTTAACAGAATTTGAAAATATTTGATAGTCTGAGAGATATTGTCACTTGAAAAAGGTCTTCAACATGCACTAAAAAGTGGCTTGGATGACAGACCAAGACTCTTTCTTATTTCTCACTTCGTTACACGTACCACTTGCTAAGTTATTATCAATTGTAGGTCAAGAAAGCAACCTTTGCCCTTGTAATAGTCTGTTTTCTTATTAAGAAATGGCTAAGGGTCACTTATAAAGTACAATAGCCTCTTCTTATTTGATGTGTGTTTATGTTAATAAGCAGTAGAAATTTCCATCCAGATACTTTCGGGTTCAGGGCCCAGCGCATAAGTGCCCAACCCGACTATATCGGGCTCAGGGCTGAGTGAGTTAAACACAGGACCCATAGATGCAATGTGTTTTGAGCGCTTTTCTCTAGTCTACGCATAGCATAGCGAACAAAGGAGTTACATGTTACACAAGTGTGTGTGTTTCAATGTGGTGCTATACTTTAACTGGATTATTGGTTTCTCAACCATCTTTCAACATGCCAACCCCCCCCCCCCCCCCCCCCCCCCCTTTTTTTAATTTTTAAGGAGGAAAAAAAAAAAAAAAATCTTTAAAACCCGGGTCCCGGATTTTAAAAACAAATTTTTTTTTTTTTTTTAAGGGGGGGGGGGGGGGCCGAAAAAATTTCCCCCCAAATTCTTTGGGGTTCCGGGCCCCGGCCATAAGGGGACAAAATGCGTTCCCGGAGCCCGGGGGGGGGGGGGTTAACCCTGAAGAAATTCGCAAATTTTTTTGGGGCCTTTTTCTTTTTTTTCCCCAAAGCAAGGGGAAAAAAGGGTTTTTTACTTTTTTAAAAAAAAATATTTTGAAAAAAAAAAATATCTTTAACCGGGTTTTTGGTTTTCCAACCCTTTTTTAAAAATCCCACCCCCCCCCCCCCCCCCCCCCCCCCACTTCTTCCAATTTAAATGATGAGAGAATATAAAAAAGACATCTATAACACATGCCGATTCCTGACTTTTATAATCAATTTTTTATTTTTATTTTGAAGGTAGGCAGGTCGACCTTGACAATGGTTTTGGAACACAAAAAGAGTCACATTTGTGGTAGAGCTGGGCGATGAATCGATTCCGGAACCGATTCCCGCGGTTAGTGCTTCAATGGAAAAGTTCTGATTCTTTTTTACATAAACCAACAGTTACCAATTACTATATTTATCAAAATTTTCTTCTTTTTAAAAAAAATTTTTGAAAAGAAAAATGTTGGTGTTGGTGCCTTGCTGTGTTTTGAAATCAAGGTCATCCTGGATCCTGAAGCTGCTTGAAGCCGACTAATTAACTGGAACTGGCTAGGTGTTGGATTCATCGGAAGTAATTGATACTTTGCCGGAAGTAATCATGTAATTGTCTCATGGTCGGAACCAATCATGGACACCCGGAAGAAATCACAACAGTGGAAAGAAATTGGGTTCGGACTCGATTCCTATGATTCCTAGTATGCAATAATCAGGAACCGCCCGCCACTAATTTGAGGCACATACCTAACAACAATAACAGTTTTTCTATCAAAAGTAACATCCACGATTAACATTTTCAAGAATAACAAATACCAAATATGAGAAAATGGGGCTATTGTGTTGCTGAAATAAATTTGTGGGTCTTTTGTACCACCATGGCGGATTTCATTGAATCCTCGAGAAGGAAAAAAATTATGGGAACAAAGTAAGCACAACTTGAATATTTCATGCACAGTATTCACGTTAATCTTGTCTCAATATAAAAAATAATACAATAAATAGACTGAGCATAAATGTACACTAAAAAACATAACCACCATTTACGACATTCATCAAACTATTGCACAACATTATATCAGCCAAGGGGAAGCAGTTTGTACAAATTAAAAAAAATATAAAACCAAAGGTTTTAAAAATATTTGTAAAATCTTGGACCTCTCATTCAAAATTG